GTGCTCAGGCCGGGGGTCTGGGAGCAGCATGGGCACCCACCGTAGGAAAGTGAGGTCCTGGTGTGAGTCACGCAGCTGCTCATCAGGAGGGCCAGGACTCTGCAAGGACTGCATCCGTCTAAGGTGGGGTGCGGGCCCTGGCCCCGCACCCCTAACAGCGCTGCCCTTTGACTAGGTAACTGGCAACAATGTGCCTGACAGACACCATCTAGGGGCCATTAAGGCCCAGTTAGAAACAAGGGCACAATTGCGGACAGCTGTGAGTTAACGGGGCCAGCTGGGCCTGCCGCCCGCCCGCTAAGAAGCCTCCACGCCTCCCTGTTCCTCGCAGATGTGCTGGGAGAAGGCTTCTTCAGAGCCCCTGGCTGGAGAGCTCCTGAAGTTTGAGTCCAGGTAACACCCTCGGGTTCCCGAGTTGCAAACAGAACAACCTGGTCCAGGTCAACCACAGCAGCACGGACCAGCTGGGAAGTGTCCACGCCGCTGAGAAGGATGCGGCTCCTGCCACGCCCGGACGCCGGTGCCCAGACCAGTCCAGCTCCCAGCTGAGGCTCCCGGTCCCCTGCCAAGGTACTCCACCTCTCCCCAGCCAAGGAAGCCCTGCAGCATGCCCTTCACCATCAGCCCCTCCAGCAGGAGTCTGGGGGGGCAGCTCAGGTGGCCCCACACGCTCACCGCCCGCTGCCCCCGGCCGGGGCCCCCGCCACCCCGCCGCTCACCAGTAGTAGAACTCCACAAAGCGCCCTCCTGGCACGATGAAGGGGTGTTCTGAGTAGATCAGAGAGAAGCGCTCGGGCTCCATGCCAACCTCTGGCTTCACCTGGAGTCAGGAGACAGCACGGGGTGGGGGCTGGGGCCCCTGGGACGGGAGGCCGGAGGGGGCAGGGGCAGTGGCGGTTGGCAGCCTGGCAGCCAGGGCTGCAGTTTGGGCTCAGCTGCTGCTCAGTGGTGGCCTTGGACAAGGCCTGGGCTGCTCCCCACCATGGCGGCCTCTGGTCTCCCCCCCACAGTGCCATAGTGGCCTCTGGGGTCCCCCACACAGTGTCACGGCGGCCTCTGGGGCCCCCCATACCCAGCCCACCTGGCGGGGCCTCACCTGCCAGCCACCACCAGTGGGACCCAGGTGGGAGCCCTTTGCCTCCACCCAACACCCCCTGCTGCCACCACACCAGGCCACAGCCCCGGGGTCCCCACTCTGCCCAGAGGTGGCTGAAACCCCAACCTGCTCCCAGTGGGGAGGAGATGGAGGCACGGCACCGAGGGGCCCGACACTGGGACAGGGCGGCGGTGTGTCCGTGCCGGGCATTGCTGTCCTGCCTGCCCCTCTCCACGCAGTGTGGTGTAGGGGGACAGGGGTCAGCCTGGGGGTGCCCTGGAGGGCCGCAGAGGGACAGGACCCGGTGTCCCGCTGGCGCTGGGTGAGGCAGCGCTCAACTAGCAGGGGAGCTGGGAGCCCACTCTGCTGGGGGGCGCAGCACCCCAGGGCTGGCCGCGCCGGGCGGGACGACTGAGCAGGGGTCCCTGCAGCCCTAGGCAGACCGACGGCCTCTCTGAGCCTCGGCCGGGACACGCCGAGCCTCAGGTCCGAGCCGCGTGTGGGGTGCGGCAGGGGCTGTACGGGCCACTCCTGAGCGGAGACCTGGGCTGGGAGGTGCAGGAAGAGCCCAGCAGGGCAGAGAATGATTCTTGCTGGTGTGAGGGGTGGGGCTGGGCAGCCTGGAGGTGACAGACCGGGCTGCAGGAGGATCCAGGGAGCAAGAGGTGACGGGTTAGAAGGAGCTGTGCCCTCCTCCCTCCTCCCTCCTGGAGTGCTCCTGCAGGGCCCAAGGCCCAGGCTGTGGCCCCGCCTGAAGGCAGTGCCACCCTAGGGAACACCACCCAAGCTGAGAAGTACAGGAAACTGCGCGACCAGCGCCTGGCCGCCATGCAGGCTGTCCTGTGGGATGAGGAGCAGGGCGCCTGGTTCGACTATGACCTTGACAGCGGAAAGAAGAACACAGCGTTTTACCCGACCAACCTCACTCCTCTCTGGGCCGGCTGCTTCTCAGACCCAGGAGCCCCAGACAAGGCTCTGAAGTACCTGGAGGTGAGGGCCAGCGGCAGGGCTGCTACAGGGGCTCAGGCCACTGCTGTCTGCCTGCCTGAGCAGTGACCCCTGGACAGGGCCGCCACTCCCCAGCGCTCCAGCTGGTCTTCGCCTGAATGTCCCCTGGCGCCACCAGGGGGCAGCTGTGAGCCGAGCCAGAGGGCCCAGCCAGGGGAACCTGGGCCTGGGGGGGGGGGCTCAGCAGCCTAGGTCCGCCCCCCCCCACCTCCACCCCCCACCCCCGTGCAGCCCTGCAGTCAGTTTTGTCTGGAACCTTCTAGGACAAGCAGATTCTGAACTACAAGCGCGGAGTCCCGTCCTCCCTCAAGAACTCAGGCCAGCAGTGGGACTTCCCCAACGCCTGGGCCCCCCTGCAGGACCTGGTCATCAGAGGTAGGGGCAGGCGCACCCCATGGGTGTGGAGGGTGGTGCAGCACGGGCCTCTCCCTGGACCCCCCAGCCTCCCTCTCAGCGTGCATTTGTGCCCGCCTGTCCCCCTTCCCGCCCCCTTTCCTGAGCCCAGGATGAAGAGCAGGTTGGCCCTGGGCCTCCAGGCAGGAGGTCCCAGCCCCTGGGCCTCTTTCCCTCCTGGAGAAGAGTGAGGGAGGCTCAGGCCCCTGCGGCCCCCGGCATGGGGGCTCTAGAGACTCAGGGTCCCGTCTGCGGTGGGGTCTAGGTCTGGCCAAGTCTGTTTCACCTCGGACCCGGGAGGTGGCTTTCCAGCTGGCCCAGAACTGGATCCGCACCAACTTGGACGTCTACTCCAAGACATCAGCCATGTATGAGAAGGTGAGCGAGCGGGGCGCAGCCCAGGGGCTCCCCCAGGTGAGGTGCGGGCACGCGGCGGTTCGTGAAGCCCAGGGCGGCGCCGCAGCGGCCCCTGGTGGCCGTCCTTGAGCACTGCACGGACGCGCGGGAGGCCAGAGTGGTTTCTCCTGACCTGGCCTGGGTTTCCAGTTTCCCCAGAGGGCCAGGGTGTGGGAGTGTAAAACGGGTGCAACTCCCGTGAAGGACAATCGAGCCACTCATCAAAAATTAAATACAGGTACCATATGGCCCAGCAGTTCTTCTGGGCATAGATCGAAAGGAAGGAAAGTCGGGACTCGAACAGGTGTTTGCGCACCCCTGTTGTTAGTAGCAGCCACTCACCCAATGGCCCCCTGGAAGCTGCCCATGCCGGTTGACAGGTGAGTGAGTAACAATGTGTTTTCATGCAACCGAAGAGTACACGATCTTTAACAGCAAGACATTCTGCAGTGCCTTGGAACAGTATGCTCAGCAAACTAAGCCAGAAAGAACAGAACAAATGGCCATGTTTCTTTTTTTGTTTTTAAAGATTAATTTATGCATATAGAATTGGGGTACAGGCCAGCGGTGCAGGGGGTGAGAGCAGTCACCAGAGACAGAGTGGGGAACAGAACAGGCAGATGGACAAAGTACATTGCTGAGGGGAGCAGCGGGCGGTCACGAGGGGTCTGCCGAGCTGTGTGGGTCACCTCTGGGGCGGGATCCAACTCACACTGAAGTGGCTGCGGCTCCCTGTAGTGCTGCGTCCTCACCCATTGCGCCACCAGGGCGGGCTAAAGGCCATGTTTCTACTGATATGAAGGCAGAGTTCTAGACGCAGAAAGTGGCTTAGTGTTCGTGGGGCGGCAGGGCTAGGCACCACTGCTGGCTCTCAGAGGGTATGTGTGGGATGATCTTCCAGAAGGTTCAGAAATAGATGATGGTAATAGTGGCACAATGTTGTTTCATGACATTTCAGTGTAATTGTTCTAAAATGGTTGGCGTGGCAAGTTCTTGTACATAGATACTCACGATAAAAATTCCCAAAAGAGGAGACGCACAGAGCATCTGGAAGTGGGGTGCAGGCAGGAGGTGGACTACCACAGCAGAGGTGGCAGTTTCTGCCGGGGGGGACGTGGGCAGCATCCGGACAGCACGGGACCGGGTCCCTGTTTCCAGCAAACGTGCTCAGCCCATAGCTGAATGCAGTTGTGTGTCACAAAGGCAGGGCCACACCCCACTAACCTCAAAGGGGGATGGGAGGCTGGCAGAACACATGGCCCGTGTGCCTGCTCCAACAACCTCCTGCCATTTCAGGCCTGGCTCATTGCAACAGCCTCCTATTAGGCTCCTGGTCCACCCTCTGCCCCTCCGCTTCCCTAGTGTCAAGGAGGTGAGCTTCCTGGAGCAGCCCTAATCCTGCTGCTTCAGCTCACAACTTTCCTTTGGGTCCCTCACTGGTGAACCTACTGCCTCTTTGGCTTGGCAAGGGGTACTGGGCCTTGCATCCTTTCCCTGTATGAGCCCCGATTTCTTGCTGGCCAGGCGGATTTGCTCATGTTCCCTTAGCAGTGTGCTCTGCTAAGGGACAGTGGCGTGGTCCCCCATTCTCTTGGCAAACTCCTAGGTGATCTTCACAACCCATGGCCAAGGTCATGACTATATTGGGCCTCCCTGACTCTTCCCTAGACAGGATGGCTGTGCTCAGAGGTGGCTGCCAGTGAGTCCCAGGTCCTGCTGTACCTAGGACCACTTCAAATCATTGCATTTGAAATGCTAATGGTTAGGGAGTGGTTTAGGGGCTATGTGAGTTGGTGGCCTCTGACTCACTAATAAGTGGCCTAAGTGTGTCCCTGGCACCCAGGGGCCTGCTCCCCCACCAGCCCCCACTGTAGGGCCCTCATAGGGAAGTGCCTGAGCAGTGGCACCAGCTGGGACTGGAGCAGAAGCAGAGAAAAAGTACAAAGTAGGTTTGGGGAGACCTCTGTGACAGGAGCAGCAAGCAGGCCACACATTGGCCAAGTGCTCAGTGGCCACACCTCAAGTCTGGACTTTGGCTACCTTGGCTACGGGGTGCTAGGCCGTGCCCAGGAAGCAGAAGCCGCCTGGCCTTGCTTACTCGGCCATCATGCCTGGCAAGACCTCGGAGCTGCTCCCACTGCTCCTGCTGGGGCTGGCCCTGGGCACCCAGCAGGCCCTCCCGCCGCCCTGTCCGAGGTAGGGCTGAGGTCGTAGCTGGGCAGGGGCAGGGAGTCTGGGGTCTGGAGGTTGTGAGGTCTCAGGAGCAAGGTGGGGGTGCCCTTCAGAGGAAAGGAAGTGCATTGAACTTCCTGAGTAGCAGGCTGGGGGGTGGGGGGCTGAATTCTAGAGCTGGGGAAAGATGGCTGGGCTAGGCAGGGCCCGGAGCCTGCTGTCCAGAGCCTGCCCTTCCTGTCACTCCTCTGCCCCCCTCTCGCTACCCTCCCTCCTCGCTGCCCCTTGAACTGAGCAGGGCTGTTCTCAGTCATTCTCCAAAGCTTCCTACCCAGTTTCCCTAATGTGGATGTGAGGGGAGCTCCTAAGAGCTTGGAAAGAACTCCTGGGGTTCACTTCTGACCTCTGTTTCCAAGAGCAAGTCAAACCTCTTTCCTCAGCCTCAGTTTCTTTCTTTTTTCTTAAGATTTATTTTTGTTTATGTATACAAGAGCTGGGGTGCAAGCCAGAGGTGTGGGAGTGAGAGGATTCACCAGAGACAGAGTGGGGAGCAGAGCAGAAGGGTAGAATGAAATACACTGCTGAGGGGGGCAGCGGGGAGACAGAGGTCTGCTGTGCCGTGTGGGTCACCCCCCTGCTGGGGATCGAACTTGTGCTGCAGTGTCTGCTGACCGCTTCATAGTGCTGCGCCTTCATCTCTGCCATCAGGAAGGCCCTCCTGAGGCTCAGTTTCTGTCTCCAAAAGAGACCAGATACCTGCTCCCCTGACTCGCAGGGCTATGCCTTCCCTCATGGTGCTCCAGCTTCGCAGGCCGCGGCAGTGAACAGGAAAGGCAAGGTCCCGGCCTTCTTGGGCCTTACCTATAAGCAAGGAAAATAAAGAATGAAGTTACATCGCGTGTGATAAGTAAGATGAAGGCAGGGGGCTGATGGAGGGGTCAGTAGATCCAACAGGAAGGGGAGGGAAGTTACCTCTGAGCAGCTCATGTCTGAGCCGAATTATGGGAGAAGCTTCCCTGTGCAAATCTGGGGGAAGACAGCCCAGGTGTGGAAACTGCAGTGCGAACAGCAGTTCCCTGAGGCTGCGGCTAAAGGACCAGAGGGCGGCTCATGAGCCCAGGCAGAAGGGGAAAGGCCAAGGGAGAAACGGAGGCTCCTGGGAGGGCAGCTGTGCTCGGGGTCGCATGGCAGCGCCAGCAAACAGGAGTGGTTCGGTGTGGGCTGTATCCGAAGGTTGAGGTGATAGGGCTTGCCGAGGGTAATCAGGGAGTCTAAAGGGGAAGAGAATAGGGGATCACTCCTAGGGGTGGGTTCTTTCTTTAAAGGCTGATTTATGCAGACAAGAGCTGGGGTGCAAGCCAGGGAGGTGTGGGAGGTGAGAGGATTCCCCAGAGATAGCGTGGGGAGCAGAACAGGAGGGTAGAATGAAATACATTGCTAAGGGGGGCAGCGGGAGACAGGAGAGGTCTGCTGTGCCACGCGGGTCAGCTCCCTGACTGGGGATCAAACTCATGCAGCCGTGGCTGGCAATAGCCTGATAGTGCTGAGACTTTACCCCCTGTGCCACCCGGGAGGCCCCCGGTCATAGGGTTTTGGACTGTGCACTCTAACAGGGATTTCAGAGAGGTGGTATGATACACGGTCATGTATCATGTGTATGTGTTCTGTTTCGGTTACTGCCAAAAAAATAGAAGTAGGCCCCCCAGCCACAGTGAGTTACTAGTATTCACACGATGATGTTATCGGTGGTTTCACTGTAATAAATTAGTCCCCAGATGAGCTCAGAGAAGGGGAGAATGTGGAAGGGCAGAGTCCAGCAGAGAACCATCACCAGCTCCCAGTGGCCGCTCCCAGAACATTTATAGAGACAGTGCTTAATTTTTTTTAAAGATTTATTTATTTATGCATACAGAACTGAGGTGCAGGGGTGGTGAGAGGCTTCACCAGAGACAGAGTGGGGAGCAGAACAGGCCGACTGATGAAGCACACTGCTGAGGGGAGCAGCGGGCGGGTCAGGAGAGGTCTGCCGCACTGTGTGCGTCAGCTCCAGGGCGGGGATCGAACTTGTGCTGAAGTGGCTTTAGTTTCTTAGTGCTGTGATTTAACCTGCTGCGCCACCAGGGAGGGTCCGGTGCTTAATTTTTTTTTTTTTTTATTAAAAAGTTTATTTTTACATCATTTTTCACGGTGCTTAATTTTTTTAAAAAAAGATTTTATTATGCATACAAGAGCTGGGGTGTAGAACGGGGGTATGGGTGTGTATAGGTGAGAGAAAGGAAGAGGGGAGTGGGGATTCACCAGAGACAGATTGGGGAGCAGAACAGGCAGATAGAGTGAAACACCCTGCTGCGGGGAGCAGGGGCCGAGAGAGGGGAGATCAACCATGCCATGTTCCACCTCCCTGGCAAGGGATGCAACTCGTGCTGTGGTGACTGCTGACAGCTTCATAGTGCTGTGGCTTGAGCTTTGCACCACCAGGGAGGCCTGGCACTTAATTTTTATAACAATATGTGATAATACAGGTGACGTAATGCCAGCAGCAGGACATTACGAGCTCACCTGGGTTGAGGGATTTTAGTGGGGATCCGTCAGAGGCGCGGAGTAGCCACCTGGCTGTCTCCAGGTACTCACAGGTCAAGACAATGGGTGGTGGGTGAGTTGTGGCCCTCAGCCCCCACCACAAAGCAAATTATTAGTATCAAGTCCCTGACGTAGCCCAAGCCAGTGGGCCAGGGGAGACTTGGAACTCTGACCACTTAGAAATTATCTCCCAGGAGCTGGACACACACCAGCCTGTTACTAGAATGTGCTGGGCTTGCACTCCCTCGGTGCACAGGCTGCCTAGTCCATAACAATTCATCTAATCTTTGACCTGTGTTCCTGGGATGGGATTTCTAAGCTTATAGTCTGTGTCTTTGGACACCTCCCAGCATGGCTGTTGAGACTGTGGACTAGAGAATTTCCATCCAGAAGGCAATTACAAGCCTGCCACTATTGCAGTAGCACCCATAACTTAAGGACAGAGATCCTTGGACAATAGGGGAGAAAGCTTCTGAGGCAGAGGGCAGGGCCAGGAGAGTCCTGTGAGAAAGCAGAAAGGTTTCTGCAGGAATCTGCAGGGAGGGAAATGTGGAGTCATTTGGTGTGGGCAAGATGGGGTCAACCTCCCCCAGGACTGACGCTGGATTTGTCTGAGGGGCGGCCGGGCACACAGCCCTCCACTGACCGCCAGACCAAAGTCTGGGGGGCTGACTCAAGGTGCACTGTGAGCATTCTCTTGGGGAGGCACAGCCAGCAGATGCAACAGCTGAAAATGCTGTAAGGGACCAGATGCAGGAGAACGCCCCACTTGACCCACCGAGTTCCATTTCTTCAGACCAAGGACCCACTGTCATCATCAGTTAGTCTGTCAGAGAACTGGAGTGGGCAGCAGAGGCGAGTGTGTGCCCACACTCCACCCGGGGGTGGCAAAGGGAGCGTCCCCACTGCATAGATTCTTTCGGGAGATGTGGGAAAGAGGGCGTGGAGAGGACACGTGGACTAGAAGGGAGGGGGAAGCGTGGTGGCTTTCTCATCGCATCACTTCACCTGATGCAGAGCTTCCAGGGTGAAGGCCTCGGCTACGGAAGCCAGCAGCCGGTCCGAGCAAGAGAGCACACCTGTACATCAGGCAAACCCAAGTGTCAGGGTTCCTGAGCGCGGTGGGGGGCTGCGTTCAGGGCGAGCGTGGGCCTGGCCTGGACAGCGCACTAGCCCTGCGCAGGTCAGACGGGGCGTGGGCGGGGGCCTGGCCAGGCTGGCGTTGCTGCGGGCCTTCAGGACAGCGGCGGCCAAGGAGAATGTCTTTCCAAAGGTGGGAACGTTTTATATAAATGGAGCAGAGGCGGAAGTGGTTGACGGTACAAGAGCAGGGCAAGCCCACCACTCCTACTCTGAGAGAGGCTCAGGGCAGAAGAAGACAGCTCAGATATACCAGATGCGCAAGCGTGGACCGGAGGCCCTGCCTGCTGGACAAGCTGGCAGCACCACCTGGACGGGCGCTGACCGGAGTGGCCTCCCAGGGGGCCCTTCGGTCAAACGCTGTGAGGTGGGCTAATTGCTAACGATATGTGGACTCTAGTCTCAGGGTGACACCTTGGACTCCACACGCACGTGGCCTGACTCTGGCGTGGCTGGGGAGACTGCAGTGTTAAATGTGATGCTTGACCACAGCAGGAAGCTGACTTAAAGCCTCCTGTCCGTCCTCTACACCAAACGCTGGCTGTAGTCACGTTTCTATCATTTACATAAATCCCACGGCAAGCGAAGATGCTCAAATAAGGTTGATTGTCTGGCTGCCCATGCCAGGTATGACCCAGTTTCTTTTTTTAAAGATTTATTTATGCATACAAGAGCTGGGGTGCAGTCCAGAGGTGCAGGGGGGTGAGAGGACTCACCAGGGAAAGAGTGGGGAGCAGAACAGGCAGATCCACTGAAACACACTGCTGAGGGGAGCAGCGGGTGAGACAGGAGAGGTCTGCTGCGCCCTGTGGGTCAGCTCCCTGGCCAGGGATTAGAGTCCTGTCATGTCTTCGTGTCACAGTGGCTGGAGATAGCTTGAGAGTGCAGAGACTTAACCCCTGCACCCCCAGGGTGGCCCAGCATGATGCATTTTCTAGCAATTTGTCCTTTTTTGACTGAAGTAGAATTGACGTGCCATCCTCTCCTCTTCGGCCACACGAGTGATTTGACATTTGTAAACATTGCAAAGTCACGGAAGTGAGACACCAGCTCACAGCAGCTTTCAAACTGGCAGTAGCCCTGTGACCCCTGCTGGGCAGCACACACACACCTCCCCCATGACTTAGTTTGTAAGTGGAAGTTTGTGCCCCTTGAGCTCTTTACCCATTTTTCCTCCCCCCCACCCAGGCCATCTTCCCTTGACCTCAGCTCCCAGGAGTGATCTCCACGCGAAAGAATTTGCGGAGTAACAGGGCGCGTGTGTTTGATGGTCGGGCGCGCTGTGGGGGCTCAGGTGCGTCGGGATGGTGGCAGCCGTGTCAGGCAGGTGCTGTGACTCCAGGGGATCATGACCTCAGGGTACAGCAGGGGCTGGAGGCTGAGCCCAACCATGTGGTCAGTGAGGCCAGGGGCCACACCCATTCCGTGGGGCCCATGAAACCCTGGCCAGAGCCCACTGGAGCATGAGCCCGTGAACGCCTGGATGTGTTGGGGGGCTCCTGATTCCATGGGGAGGGAACATGGACCTTCTGAGGGTCCGGTCAGACCTCACCCCCATGTCTTAGGAAGTGAACTGAGTGAGGGTGCTGGGTTAGGTAGTGCGGATGCTTCGGCTTCAGGGCGCAGACTCCGGCCGCTGTGTCAGGCCGGGTGTTCTGTGTGATGTCTCCTGCTTTCTTTGTTGCTGTTTTTTATTTTTTTTAAGGTTTATTTATACATACAAGAATTGGGGTACTGGCCAAAGGTGCGGGGGGTGAGAGGATTCACCAGAGCAGAGTGGGGAGCAGAAGAGGCAGATCTCCTGAGATACACTCCTGAGGGGAGCAGCGGGTGAGACAGGAGAGTTCTGCTGCGCCCTGTGGGTCCCTTCCCTGGCCGGGGATCGAACTGCTGCTGCAGTGGCTGTGGACAGCCTCGTGGCGCTGCGCTTTAACCCCTTGGTCCGTCAGGAAGCCCCCCACCGGTATCCTGCTTTAATCCCATTAGCAGCTCATTTTCCCCATTCTGTGCCGGCCTAACCAGGGGAGCTGTGCACACAGCCCTGGGGCCTGCACATGCGTAGTGTCGGCCTCTGTAACTAGGAGCCCGCTAGGCGCTTGACCTCGAGGCCTGTTGTTTCACAGCACTTAGCCTGCCAGCAGCCGTGACCAGAAGTCCCGGTCACGTTCCCAAATGACACCCTTTGTCGTAGAGGCACCCGCGACCTGGCAGCCGAAGCCACAGGCACGTGCCTAGGCCACCCAGCTCGTGGCCCCGGCGCCGTCATGACCCACGTGCCCCGGGGGGATGGTGCAGCTCCCAGCCTGCCACGCAGCTCTGCGGGCGCCAGGAGGGCACAGAAGCAGGCTCACACCGCGGATATCGGCGCGATCGTGCTAAGAGACGAGGTTGATCTCACTCTGAGCTGCTCCCCAGGCACTGGGTCACGTGGGGCCCCATGGTGGCACCCTACCCCTTTCTCTCCGTTTGTCTTTGATTTTTTTCCCCCCAGAATTGTCCATCTTTAGAAGGGGCCAGCTTCGGCCACTGTGCTTTCGAGTGTTGCAATACCAGCCCGGCCAGAGCCCCTCAGTCCCGCCCCTCTGTCCAGGGTGGGGTCCCACGGGGCACCCCTGGGGCCATCCCACCACCTGGCCACCCAGCTGGTTCCTGTCGGCTGCTCTGGAGCCCGGTGGGGTGTAGGATGGACTCCCCCACCAGGCACTTAGGGATGCTGACGTCAGGGTTTCAAAGGAGACTTAGAGTTTCTTGCTTGGGGATCATCCCTGCTTCTGGCACCCCCGTGGCAGCCCGATCTTGGGGCCTCTGTATCAGGCAGAAAATGCAAGAGGGAAGCGGATGGACGTAAGTGGGTCGGGGAAGGGTCGCGTCTCCCGCCAGCAGCCTCCCCTCCTTCTCCCCCAGAGCCCGTTCCACGGCCCTGCCGCAGAGACACACACGCGTGCGGGCGTGTCCGCGGCCCTTCACCCCTTTGTCACTCCCCGTTTTAATTGCCGGTCCCGATTCTCTATCGAGTGAGCACGCTCAGGGGGTTGTGACCTGCTCTGTCCATGCAGCGCGCTCTCCACCGGCCTGCAGTGGGCATGGTGGGCGGCCCTGCTGGGAGCAGTAGCTGCCTTCGGTGTGGCACCTTCTGTCCTTGGCACCGGCATCTACGTCAGGCACGAAAAGACCCTGTAACGTGCCCCACGGTTCCCCTAATGAAGCCACATGGGCGACCCTTCAGTGCCCTGGTTTCTCTCACTGCCCGGTGCCCAGCGGCAGCAGAAGCCCACGCACAGAGCGAGGCACCTTTCGACTCTTCTCTTGCCACAGGCAGGCAGCAAGTAGCTGAGCCCGCCGAGCTGAGGCGGTCTTACCTTCTGCAAAGGTTTCCATCAGCCTGCCTGATTTCAGTGGCCTTCAAACAAGACACCGACCACCTGGGAAGGGTCAGCAGCCAGCCCTTGGCTGGGACTCGCTCTGTGACAGACCCCCCGAGGTTCCTCAAATGCTTGCAAGGACAGGCCTGACCTGTTGGTGACCGTGAGGGCCTCGCACTCCTCGAGGGCACGTGCTTTTGCAAACCAGCTCCAGTTTATCAAGGAGCTCTTGGGATGTGGCCTTCTCTAGCTCTCCCAGGCATCGTGGGTATTTCAGCTTCCCAGAAGTAGTTTGCCCTTTAGTCACAGGCCATGAACTAATACCCAAGAGCAAGCCAGTAACTGTCCTCCACGTGGTGCGTAACCACAAACGGCATCTGGAATCATCCTGGCCTAGGCTCACAGGCACACGCATGGCCGGTGTCCAGTCCAGGGAACGCACCTCAGGCTCCAGCGCATTCTGTGCTAACGGGGGTGGGGCGGGGATGGGCTGACCTGCTCCCCTCCCCTCCCGACGCTGCAGCCTCGTTTACTGCCATGGGGAGCTCCTGCACCAAGTCCAGATGGCCAAGATCTACAGCGATGACAAGGAGTTTGTGGACATGCCAATGCGTGAGCATCCAGGTGAGGCACCTGGGCCCATGTCCTCCTGGCCTCCACCTGCGATGGTGGGGGATGACCAGGGAGAGTGGGAGCTCTGGTCAGGGAGGGGTTCGCGGGGCTTCCTGACCCCTCCTTGCTGCCTGACCCCAGACCAAGTCCTCCAGCGCTTCCGCAGTCTGTCCGCAGCCCACAACCACAGCATCCCCCGGGACAAGGTCAAGGCGTTCGTCACTGAATCCTTCCTGGTCAAGGGGCAGGAACTGCTGCCCTGGACCCCTGAGGACTGGAAAGAGAGGTGCCACCCTGGGCAGGGATCCAGAGTGGGCCCTCCAGGCAGAGCTGCCCCCTGACCCTGTTCTTCAGCCCCCAGTTGCTGTACAATATCTCTGATCCCGCCCTTCGCGCCTGGGCAGAGAAGCTGCACAAGCTCTGGAAGGACCTGGGCAAGAAGGTACCCGGTGCTCGGCCTGCGGGGGGTCGG